CCTCGGGACCCGGCCAGGGACGGCTGGGCTCCGCAGAGGTCCCGGCTCCGACCGGAGGGAGGGCCTGGGAGGGCCTGCGGCGGCGCGGCTCCGGGGCCGGGACCCGTTTTCCCCGGAGCCTCGGCTGGGGCAGACCGGGCTCAGGAAGCTCAGCCGCAGGCGGCCCGGCCCGCGCCCACCGCTGCGCATGCTGCGCGCACCCCCGGCTGAGCGGCCCGGGGGTGGGGGGGGGGGTTCGCCCCGGGACAGGCGAGGTTAGAGGGAAGCAGGGGGCCGAGGAGGTGAGCAGCCAGACCATTATCTAAATCTCAGCGGTTGCGAAAGCCGGAACTTACTGGCCTGATTGAAGGTGTCTTATCGGTGAAGAGGCGCTCCCAAGGAGAAACACAAAGGGGGCGGTCTTTCTGGGAAAGATAAAGGTCCGGGGCCACAGACCTCTGTGGGGCAAGCGACCCCACCCTCACCTCCGGCCCCCAAAACGACCCTTATCTGGCCATTTCCCGTCAAGGTAGATCGCCAATGCGCGGTTGAAGGAGTGGGGGGTGGCGTCCTTTCAACACCAACCATCATTACCGTCGTTATTGGGCTCAACGTGGTTAAACCGGCCTTGACTAGGGCGGTCAGAGCTCTTGGTCTCGGCCAACGCCGCTCCTCCCGGCCTGTCCCTCCCGGGGGTGCCTGCGGCTGGAGGGGGTGGGGGCGGGGAGAGGGGTGCCATTCATCTCTATTTGGTCGACTGGAAGGGACTTAACTGAGTGGCCTGTTAAAACAAAGTTGTGCAAAGGTGATGAAAAAATTCGTTTCAGAGGGTACTTAGCGCCTGTTTCCGACCTCGTCCTTAAAAAAAAAAAAAGTATCTGGAGAGAGACTGCTAACCTAACTGCATTATTTGCAGAGTAGCCTTCCTTGTTTTTAAAGACAGAATGACTTTCCTGACGCTTTGTGGGGCATCCTGGAAACTGAAGGCTGTGTGAGAAGTTATTTTGGATCTGCTTGAGAAGAGCTGGGAGCAAAGGACCCCAAACCTGGGAAATTATAAAGCAAATCCTCTCTCCGCCCTGATTTCACTTCGCTATTATCTACAGTGGGGTGGATGCTATTAGTAGGTACTGGGAAATCTTGCCACCAAGTTTTGCCTCTAGGATTAGGTGTGAATGATTGCATTTTTTTTTTTTTTTTTTTTAGCAGAACAAAAACAATTAGGCAAGATGATGTAGAGTTCAAGAGAGCATGCCCACCCAGGGACAGAAAAAAATCAATAGCCAGGAAACAAAATGGTTGCAACTGCTAACCTTCATTTAAATAGTTACAATCAAGAGTCACTTAATTTTGGTCAAACTTAAAGAGCATAAACAGTTTCAAATGAGATTAAATATTACTTTGACCTCAGGGGTACCAGGATCATTCACCCATTTGTCTTCTCTGGTGATTGGCCTACATAATGCAGATACAACTGAGAAGGGACCTATTTTTTTTTTCTCCCTCAACACTTGCTTTAAAAAAAAAAAAATGACCAGAATGCCTTATGTTCAACTACTCAAATTATAGGTTTTAAAACTTTTCTGAAACTCCTTTGTTCAGAAATCATTTCTGCCTGGATTGCTTTCAGATTCTGATTACATTCACTCATGTTTACCTCAGATTTTTTTTGGGGGGGGGAGCTAAAATAAAGTCCCCTTAATCAAATAAGAGAATAAAAACACAGAATTCTTTTCATTCTCATTTTATCTGAGGTCCTACAGTTCTTCCCTTCGTGCTTAAAAAGTTGATTCATGTTAAAACATACTAATAAAATGCCTACGAAATCAGTAGGGTATGCAGCAGGGAGGGAAAAGCAAGGAGACAGGATCCTAATGATTGCTGGTCTCTCTATTCAATTTCAGAGCAATCCTGATGAAAGTCACCAACACTTTACATACCACAGTCATTCATTTCTACTTCATCCTTAGATTAGATCCCCCAAAATTTAAAAACAAAGTCTGCTCTCTGACCTAAGAAAAACGTGTTTTAGGAAGAAAAGACTTCTCCCTTATAAATAAGGGTATACAATTAAACTGGACCCAGTGTTGTGCTAGAACCATTTTAATATAATTATACATATCTGCCAAATCCAGGAAGAAAAGGTTTATGCATATATCACTTTTCCAGTTAACATCTGCAAGCATCAACAACAATGATCTCAGTTTATAAATTCATCAGGGTCAGAGCAATTGACCAATGTCTCTTTACTGCCGGGCTTACCAACAGTAAATTACAGATGAATCCGTGTCCTTTCGTTTCTCTTCTCTCACTCTCCTTGTCCAGAGACATTTTGTTGTAAAGTTTCAGCACAGCTCCCATCCAGCCACAGGTAATCTTTTTAGGTAAGTACTCAGTTGCTCTGAATTTTTGCTTATAATTATAACCTATTTAATCACAGAAGAACCCCTACAGAGGTGGAGTTCAAGGTTGCATACAATAACAGGAGATCACAGTTTTGAAGTCTAGCACAGATTAAAAACCACAGATGTACCATTTATATAAGACACACACTGATTGTCTCTTAAACTACATATTGACTCCTTATGAACATTATTTTTTTAAATAAAGTAGTGCATCTAGGACAATCAGTCGCACAATTCACACAGCCCTGAAAAGGTTTTCAGTGCCAACTAACAGTTGGTCATGAAACGTGAGTGAGCTTGAGACACTGTTCATTCCTAAGATTCAACCAAGGATTGGCTCAAACATTGGAACACCTCTGCTTAAGAAGGCTATGTCCTCCCCTCCTTTACCTCACAATTTCGTTTTGCTTATTTTTGGTGGTGTTTGGTTGCCCATGGCTAGAATGCTTTTGATCACTTTGAGAATCAGGAAAACCAATGATCTAAAACTATGACAGGATCTTAAGTAGATTGGTTTGTCCATTTCAGGTTGCTGGTTGGTGGGTCCCTCTAAGGACCTTCACATTTCCTTCTCTGCCTCCTGAAACATGGATCAGAAGATGAGTCTGAGTGTCATCCCATCTAACTCTTTTAACCAATGCCTGGCTAAAACTGGAATGTCCAGCCCAGTCTATTTAAAAATCACCCACAAAAAGAGGTTCTACAGGTCTTCACAAAACCTGGAATTTCCACGAGGATGTCTGGTCTTTATAATCCAAGCAGTCAGCATTGAAGTTAAGCTTCCAGGAGGCAGTTTGGTCCTTATAATCCAAGCAATCAGTGGTTGAGTTAAAACCCAAGCTTGACGCTCCATATCCCTGGGTGGAGAGAGAAGCTGGGGACTGATTGAGATGGCTGGTAACTGCATTGGTACCCATAGGGCTGAGTGTGGCCCCTGGTCCCGGAAGCTGGTGATGCATAGGGGTCAAATAAGATCCACAGTCCATGCCCCCGAAGTAGGACGTTGAGCCAGCATATCCTTGACTATAACCTGAAGCCTGAGTGTAGGTCATGGGATAGGACCTCTGCATGCAGGAGGAGGAGGTGGACAAGGGATCTGACAGTGGGGAGATGGAGGCTGGGCTCCAGATAGACACAGGAGCACTGCTGCTGGAAATGGCCGGGACTGAGGTGCTAGAGGGGGGAGTGAATTGGCCACTCGTTCCACTCTCTGAACTCACTTCCCGGGCTGGAGATGTCTTCTTTTTGGCAGGCCTCACTTTATTTTGACCTCCATTCTGTTGTTGCTGCTGCTGTTGGCGGCACTTAGCTCTTCGATTCTTAAACCATACCTTGAAAGGGAAAGAAACTTCTTTAATGTGGTTTCAACAGCTCCTTAAGAACAAGGGTGGCTCCCAGGTTATAATCTCTCCTACACGGACAGATTGAGCTGACAAACTCTCCTGCCACTGAAAACCTATTATATAGTACTCTCATATGTATGCCCCTGCAATTGTAAAAAATGTTGGGGAGGCTCTGTCTAAAAGCATTTGACTCTGCTTTACTCCCAACCCAGAATAACATTTAAGACCAATCGTATGGCTAACAATTCTACACCTCACTTTTCTATGTTGATTCACCTGGAATACACACATACACTTAGACCCAGCTGTATTTGGGGACTCTCTCACAATGGGATAGAATGTATTTATGTCTTTTGGAGGAAAACACAAGGGAGTGAAAACAATTCTGTTGTTACATGCCTACAAGAACAGTGTAAATACAAACAGTTTATAGTCCACCTTCTAGGGAGCAGTTGCTAATATGGAGGTTGGTTTCATCCCTCTACTTTTTGTCTCTCCTAGAAAGACTCACTTACAAAAGAAAGCTCCAAGGAGAAGTGAGGGAGGAGGTCTGAAAGCCACTATTGGGCAAAACCTTCTTTATGTTAAGTGGAGTGTCTCCTAGGTGCTCTGCTTTGAGACTTCCCTACTAGTCTCAAGTTTGAGATTAGACACTGTGCCATCAGCACCTAGATTCCGTTTCCTGTACTATGCTCATAGGCTTGTCAACTTCAGCCTCTGCCTACAACTCTGGGAATTCTTTTTACCAGCACTGTCCACGTTCTATAATGAAGGAGCTGTGTTTAGTGTGGGAGGGGGCTTATCAGAGAAACTACCAGCATTTTCTGGGCAACAAGTCCTGAGCTGCCCTCTTGGATGAACTCTCCATATGAGTGCTCTGTGGTAAAAATGATGCTACCAAGGCTGAGTGAAGCATCACCAACCACTCCAGTCATTTATTTTCTTTCAGTGAAGACTTTTGTTTAAGCCTAACAAGTTCTCCCATCCTATTTTGAAAAGGCCTCTTTCCTGGTTTGCAGTTCACTCTGATGTGTCCCAGTTGAAGGGGACTCTCTGGTGTATATGTAAGTTTAGGTGCTAATCATTCTTGCAGAACTCTGTGTGGGACCTGAGTTCCAGGAAAGTTCAACTTGACTTTCCCTCTCCAGCTTAAGGTCAAGTTAAGGGGGCCTCAGGGAAGGGGGGAGGGGTCGCCAGGGATATTATGCAGATGTTTTATCTGCGAGATGCCTCAGAGCTAGCAGATTCTGTTCAATCCCTAAAAAGTTAAAGAAAACACTTGTATCATTTCAGAGCACCAGCTGATTCCACAGCCGAGCTCTTCCACCAACCGGCCTGTGACCTTGAGCAAATCGTTTACTGTTCCTTCATCTGTAAAAATATTGGGACTATCCGGGAGCTAAGCTTCTTCCACCCTTAACAGTGAATGAGAGAATGGGGGCAGCTTTGTGCGGAGGAGAAGGGAAGTATTACAGTAGTGTGTGACAGTACTCGGAAGTCTGCCGCCAATGGGCCTCCGTAGGCCAGGTGCCCAAGGCTTACTTCTAGGGCTGCGCTTCCTCACTGAAGCTAAATCACCAGTCTTACTCTGCAAACCTGAGCGGAAGACCCCTGCTTGTAGGACTGAATGGGGGTGGAGGGACAAGTCAAAGGGGCTCTGGGGGAAATCGGGCACTCAAGGGGCCTCAGGAGAGTTTGCAGGCCTCTTATGGAAGGTTTCGTTTCGAGCCTTCCCTGGGTCATCTCTAAGGCCTGGGACTCTCCTGAGCCCTCGGCACACCCCGTGCTGGGGGAGGGGTGGCACGGTGAGGAAGGATAGGGCTGTCTACAGCTGCCCTACCTGCACCCGGGACTCAGGCAAGTTGATTTTCAGTGCCACCTCCTCCCGCATGAAGATGTCTGGGTACCGGGTCTTAGCAAACAGCGCTTCCAGCACGTCTAGCTG